CTGCCTACCAATATGACAGGAAGATATGGCAATATCTGCTGGGCATGTCAGCAGCCTGGTCATTTCCAATCTCATTGCCGACTCTTCCGCTGCCGCATCTGTGGACGCACTCAACCAGGGCATTATCCATCTGCCTGTCCTCAACGAACTGTTTGGGACAATGCTATCCAAGAAGCCACCGAAGAGCAAGACTACGATGATGGCACTCTTGTGGACCTGGACGGTTCGGTAACCGGTCATAACTAGGAAGTTTGGGTAAACTTCGACCATAGGAAGGGGGTAATGTTATGATTTTCCCATGCTTATCTCATTCCATTTCCATTCCGAGCATTGCTATTGGACAGTACCTTTCTCTGAGTAGAACTTCCCATGGACGCTATCTTCTTCCCACACGTTATCTCCCCTGACTCACCTTCTACCAATGGGCGCCCTTGTATTTCTCATTTCTCTAAGTTACATTCTCACAGGATAGCTTACGCGTCCTTTCTTATTGTTCTCTTCTTTGGGTATTAACCCCTATACCAGTTACTATATATACTGTAGGAAAACCCATGTATTCCCTAGTTCAACCTCCTGTTGAATACAGCGATTACCTGGACTCTTGACTTGACCGTTGGCATTGGCCCGGCCAGACCTACCTTTCAGTACGCTTACTGAGGTAGTGACGACATAACTGTTGGCACGTGGCCCAGTTATCTCAAGACGACTAGTTAGGACATCGCTTCCTAACATTGTCCATGTGACATCAAGCTCTACCAGTCCATTGAATCTGGTTACTTAGACTTCACTCTATGTACATAGCTACATATAAAAATTTTGAAAATTAGGCTGAGGCTCTCCCAGTTAGCGATCAGAAGCTACTGCTGACCATGGACCATACTGCATGTGATGCAATGCATTACAGTATGAATGAAGGGCCCACTGTGACCACAAGTACTAGTGGCAGATCTCCATCCAATGGCCTGAGACTCAGTGACCCTTGGACTTACACCAATTGAATCTCCCAAAACAATAGACAAACCCAGGCTCCTAAACCATCCGTCCTTAGCGTTCTCACTCCTCCTTTACTAGGGTGCACGTGCAGCGTTATATAATACAAATCTATTTTTGAATTATTACCGGATACAGAATGAACAAGAGGAGGAGAACACTATAGGATGGCTGGCACAAATGTTGTCGCCGAGATCCCCGAGGCTGACTAAGCGGACGGTGGCTGAAGCCTTTCACCAGCGGTCGGCGGGCCTTCACGCAACCATTTACAACTTATTACCTTGGGATTTACCGCTCGGTGTACTTTATAGTAATGTAAAAATGTCCTAACTGAATGGTATACTCATGTAATGGTTATCAGTAGTACCAAAGGCTGAATATCCAGCTGAAGAGGCATAATGGCTATAGACAAGCCCCTCTGAGTGTCAGAAGTATACCAAAGGTATTTGCATTGGTCTTAAACTATTTTAGCACCCGTTTATATGTGTTCTGCGTGAGCTCAACGAGGTAGGTGTCGAGACACTCTCTACATCACCCGCCAACCGCTGCTGAGAGGCTTCAGCCACCGTCCGCTTAGTCAGCCTCGGGGATCTTGGCGACGACATTTGTGCCAGCCATCCTATAGCGTTCTCCTCCTCTTGTTCGTTCTGTATCCAGCAATAAATTAAAAATAGATTTGTATCATATAATGCTGCACGTGCACCCTAGTAAAGGAGGAGCGAGAACGCTAAGGACGGATGGTTTAGGAGCCTGAGACAAATCCCAATATACATAAATCTAGCATACAGGGAACACACTGTGATGGATTTCCAATATTAATGACATGTATGGTTGAGTGGACCTCCCATCTGACCGCATTGGACACACACTATGTGATGCTTGCCTCCGGCTTGCATTTTCATTATTTAACACAAATTACACAAATTACACAATCACATCCCCCCAGGCAGACTGGGGTCCATGGGTCCATCCAGCTGATAGGCAGAGGTCCATCATGGACTCCATGGACTTCTCAGATGCTTGAGCAGCTAGTAGCGGCTCCTGGATCTGGACCAGGAGCACTATGTGAGGTACCAGTACTAGGAATGTCTACAAATAGGGCAGTGACAAAAGTGACAAAAACATATTATCTACAGTAAATCAATTCTGGGGGGGGGGGTTGATGATTTGTAAGCAAACAACCCGGGGTTGTTACTTTCAGGGGGGCTGCTGATTAGAATTATCCAGGAAGGAGATGTGCACTTTCCTAATATATGTTGTTTTATGGGTTATGACCCTCCAAAAAGTTATGGATTATGGATACAGCAGACTATGGGTTTTTACTATCTACCATGCCAAAAATGGATAATTCTAATTAACAACCCCCCTGGAAGTAGGCTAGGTCACTTTCCCGATATGCGCCAGTGAAGTCTCCCCTTGCGCTGTTTTAGGCAATGACGTCTACTCGATTTGGTACTGGTGGCACCGTCAGGACGGTACTCCACGTGCGTACTGTGTGCGCCGCTGCACGCTCTGCAGTGCTCTCTGCACAATTGAAAGCTTTTGAGGAGGGCGCAACCCTCACCACCTTCAATACTCATTGCTTAAGAGCTTATATACTGTCATCCAATGTTAATTTTGGCAGCTGTAAAGGATTACAACACCTGAAGCTGTTTTGGGCCTCGGATAAGCTAAGAACAGGCTGCTAAGTCTATACAGAGAGGTTCCGGTTTGAGAAGAAATTCACTCCGCTATACGGGGAACCATGCAGTCCAATATAGATGCTACTTGGGCTCTTTTCTCTGCTCAAATCAGCTGGGAGAGGTCAAGGATTGCACTGTGTAGTTGCGCATGCTGACGCTCGGCAGATGGCATCCACGCGAGCCTGCCGTTTCTGGCAGAGAAGCCTGCCTTTCTTGGAATGTGCGAGAGCTTTGGAAGACTTCTGCGATGTCGATACCAAAAATGAACAAGCCTCCATTTAAGACAGTTGCTCATCTACTAAGTCTTATTTAGGAGACGCAGTATCAAGCCTACCCTGGAAGCAACAACCCCGGGTTATTTGCTTACAAACCATCAACCCCCCCAGAACTGATTTGCTGTAGATAATATGTTTTGTCACTTCTGTCACTGCCCTATCAGTAGACGAGTTCCTAGTACTGCTACCTCACACATATTCGGCTGGTAATATGATTATGTACGTGCTAAAATAACTAGAATCAGCGCCAGCCACTACAGCCGCAGGACAATTTGCTGATGCCCGCAATGGTACCGGTACAGAGGCATCGAGAAATGCTTACTGACTGGGCTGGGACACTCTGTAAGTCCAAATATCACCATTTTAGGCGAAAAGTGCAACCCATCTGCAAGAACCACAAACCCGTATACCCGGCGCCGCGGGTCGCAGTATAACGCAGTGTGGACGGTCAAAGCACCGCACCCCCACCTGAGCAACCCTCGGGTTGAATACCGCAGTGGCACCCGCATCCAACCTTAGTAGCCTTGACCGGGAGAGCCTCAGCCTAATATTTTTATATGTAGCTATGTACACAGAGTGAAGTCCAAGTAACAGGATGTAATGCAGACTGATAGAGTATGATGTCACATGTGACCGCTGGTGGACAACCGGGGTTGCTGGATAATGGCATGGGTTGCTGAGGGGTTGTTGCTCCCAGGGGGGATGTTGATTAGAATTATCCGTCAAAAACCTATGGCTTATTGCAGGTTATGGGTTATGACAGGTATGGATTAAGACAGAGTCGACTGTACTTGTACAAAAGCCATGACAGGCATCTGGTATCAGGCCCGACGCCACCTACAACAACTTCTGAGTACACAAGAACGAGTACCTAACCCAGTGGACATATGCGACGTATACGAAGGGAAGAGATAGTGGTGGTAAAGATGGGTTCTACAAATGCAATAAGTTATCCATGACCGCAATCCTTATACCACGCGGGGCCAGGTATATACAAGAAATTCGACGGGAAGGGAGATAGATGGCGGAGAACACAGGTTTACCGCTTAGCCAACAGCGATCCTGGTTCAAAGACGGTCGTTGTGGGAGGCTGGACGAGCGTCTGGTTGACACGGGGCGGCTGTTTCCGAGTCGGGGCGCGTACAAGACCCTTAGCTCCGCCAGAGCCGTTAAGGCCACCGGTCTTAGCCATGAGGACGGTTCGCTCCTGGATCAGCATGTAGGACTGCAGAGAAACGTTAATATTGCACGTGGAATTACGCTTCAGGCCTTCTTACCCTTGCAAGAAGGATTTTCTCCATCCACATTTGACCTTCTCTCTCGGGGCATGAGAAGACATGGACGTAATCCGCAGTGTTCTCGAAGAACGATAGATTGTCGGTGGACTTGACAGCGAAAGTATACGGCTTAGGCGCCTTATGAAGCCGGGTGACGTGGTACGCGTCGAAGTTGGACAACGAGCAGAGGAAGGTCTCGTCTTTGCCCTATTGTGCGGTCAGTTACTATGATCAAAGCTACCTAGTAGCCACGTACATTATCACGCTTCGCCAGGTACAAGCTATGCTCGCGCAACTCCAGCCAGCGCTTATTCCATTTGCCTCGCTTGACCTCGTACTCGACATAACCTCTACAGAGGGGAGAACTCGAGGGAAGAGCCTACAAAAATGTCAGTCTTAGTTGAGGGGCCGAGCAAGGACACGGAGATCATGTTACTTACAGAACGCCTGAGGATCGGCTCGAGAAGCGTTCTCTTGATCATGAGCATATTGACCATTTTGTCCTTGTTCCACGATGTGAAGACATCCGTCAGGATTTCAAAGCCACGGATAGGTCGTTCTAGAGGGCCCGCAACGATCAGCTATGCGACGGGCCATGCCCACTGAAGATATGCTCACCCATGCCGAAGTCCTGAGCAACTTCCCAGAGCATCCAGCCCCCACTACCCACGATATCGTCAAGTCCTCCCTGGCCAGCGACCATTTTGAGTACATCGTCCGCCGTAGTTGAAGGGCCTATCTCAACAGTATGGAAACGCTGCAGGTCTCCCACGAAAACCCTCTGCTGCACCACCTGGACCTTGTCGCGCAACACCGGAGGGACGGGCGGAGGGGGAGGGAGTTCGGATGGTGGGACGGCCCGCGGACGAGAGACACTGCGAGCTCGCTCAATTGATGTACCAGACTTGTAACCAGCGGAATAAGTGCGTCCACGCTCCTCGCTCGAAGCTTTGCTGATGTACTGCTCCCGCTCTCGGTCTACACTGGGACGCCTGGAGCTTACAACGCCACGCGTCGTACCGCTCCTGCCTAGCGACTGAGGAGCGTTGGGCGGCAGGGGTGCAGCGGCGGCAGTTACATCTTGCGGCTTCCTCGAGGAGCGCATGCGTGCCAAGAAATTACCACCGCTGGTACCCTCACCGTCCCTCGAACCAGGACGAGATAGTTTCTTGCCGAAGAAACCAGAAGAGCCACCTTCTCCGTCCCTGGAGGGAGGTCGAGAAATGGTGCTAGGTGGAACACCTGAAGCTTTGACGTTCATCAGCTTCTGGGTCAGCTCGTCAACAGAGATGGGATTCGCAGTGCCTCCTGGCAAAGTCTTCGTACGAGGACGACTGCCAGGTGCTGGGGCAGTTGCAGATTGTGGAGAGATGGGTGGAAAGGCGTAAGGGTCGACAGCTTGAGGGCGAATCGAGTTATTACGCAGAGGTCTGGCAGCTTCCCGTCCTCTTGCCTCCATTTCATTCATACCGGCAGGGAAGGCTTGTCGTTGGTTGACGCCCACCGGTGAACGTGGCGGGCCCTCGAAGCTGCTTTCTTCCCTTAGCCCATGCGAGACCGCTAACGTGTGCAGGTTCCTCTTCTTTCGCTTCCGCTCGTCCCGGACTTGCTGCCTGATACTCTTCTGCGCCTTCAGGGCGGTCGGAATGCTGCGAGCAAGAGGGACATCATCGTCCGTGGGCATGATCTCCGTCTTGTTCTCGTCGCCAACATCATCAGAGTCTGTCAGAGAGCTGTCCGACTCGTCCGAATCCGAGAAGGAGGAAGGCCCAGCAGACGGTCGACCACGTCGATCGCCACGCCGCTCGTCATCGTCGTCGTCACGTCCGCCAGCACCACCTCCTGTACCATTACTCCTGCCGTTCGCGGCGCCCTTCCCAGACGCGCTACCGCCATACGACCACAAACCAGTGTAGCCGCCCCCACTAGGCTTTCCTCCAGCACGTCCCTCGCCATGCCTCTCTTCGCCGTCCACAAGTTCAATATCGTACTGCCAGAGTCCCGTGAACGCGCTTCCGTTCTTCTTCCCCACAGCACCGCCGGCACCAGTGCCGTTCGTCTTGAAGCTGTTATAGCTCACTCGCCCGGTATCCGCGTCGTTAGGGTTGACTACGAACGCTCTGACGGCGCCATTCGTAGGAGGGGTCGGCGGTCGCGGTGAACCAGGCGGAGAAGCCAACGGATCCTGCGAGACTTCCCCATAGTACTTAGCTCGACCCCGCGACATCGACCGCGCATGTCCACGGCCCGGCTTCGCGCTCTCGAGGCTGCTGCGCCCCTTCGTACTGGAGGTATAAGCGGCGGGCGTCGTGCTGAACGGAGCAGCCACGGGTGCTACGACGAGCGCAGGCATGTCTTTCTCCCTTTCTGGTGTCGTGGCAGGCGTCGAACCAGACCCAGACGAGTTCGTTGGCGATGCCGACGAAGAAGATTCGCCAACCACGATCTTGTGATCGATCACGGCAGCGCCACCGGCTGCGCGCCGGCCGTAATCATAGCTCGGCCTTCGCCCCGAGCGCGGGGGGATTGGCGGCGGCGGCGACGAGGACGAATGCGCTGACCTCGTCGTGCTCGGCGAGGACGGATTGGACGACGAGTCGCTGCCCGTCTTTGTCTCTGTGCTGATCGTGATTGGCGCCGATGTTGTCGACGTCGCTGGGAAAGGAACAGACGTCGAGGTCGAGACGCTCTCTTTCCTTTCACGAGTCGCAAGAGGGGACTTGGTCACGGAGACAGTGCGATCTCTGGGGGATGAGGTAGGCGGCGAAGTGACACCAAAGGTATCCCGATGGGCGGGTCGTGCGTTTACACCCTCCCTAACCGAGACGGGAACGTAGCTACCACGCTCCTTCTCTGGACCTACAGTGGATGTCGATGCATAACTTGCTCTCTCCGGGGGCACGGGAGTGGACATGGAAGCTCGAGACAACCTGGGCTCATTAACAGGACGAGGGTTAGCCGGGAGAGGTTTGTTGGCGATCGACGCGACGCTGTCCTTTCGGATTCGCGGGCTTGTCGAGTTAAGGGTGGATTGGCGTGGGCTGGCTACCTGAGAGGAAACGGAGGGGGTGATACTCTCCCTCTGGAGACGGGACGGAGCACCTGATGCAGTAGACTGCCGAGAGGAGCCAGGGACCGACGCAGGGGTAGGTACGGAAGCACTTTCCCTTCGGATCCTGGAAGCAACCTGAGCAATCGAGACGGACTCCCTCTTGGCAATGGCAGGCGCATGAGCAGCAGGAGACGAACTCTCCCTCCGCCCCCTGGGCGCCGAAACCGTCGCGGCCGACCCCACTCTCTGTCTCCCTCCCTGCACCCCCGTCACGGTCGCCGCGCTGCCCGTCCTCTCCCTCTCCTTCGCATACACGAACCCATAAGTACTCGCCCTCTCCCCGGGCCATCCGCCAGGCGGACCAGCCCTCAAACCAAGATGACTCACAGCCTCCTCCTCCTCAACCTTCACATACCCACCGCGTATCGTGCTGGTGCTCCCGGCATCGGACCCAACCTCAGATGCAGCATCGAAGAACTCCGTGCGGCCCGTCTCCGAGAACTCAGTTGCGAGATCCGCGTCGTGGGCGCCGTAGACCTTCGGCATCTCCTCGTCGTCAGCAGTGGGGAACGGGATCGATGGCGGCAGCGGCGGCAGGGGCTTCGAGGGCGAACACGGCGAAGTGACAGCAGACGAAGACGACGACGCGCAGGTCGACGACGACGAGCTGGAGTGCGAATGCGAATGGGACGACGAGCCAGTCGACGCGTAGCAGTAGCTCTGATCCTGATCTCCGGACGCAAATGCAGCGGGCAGAGGCTCGGCTGCTTCCTGGTGGTACGGACGCAAGTGCGATGGGGCAGCCCCGTCGACGGTGGGATCAGCAACGCCCTCTTCCGCCCGCGCAGCCGGTTCTATACCACGCACTTCCCCTTCCGATGAAGCTATTATAGCGCCCCCTCCGAAAGCGTGAGCGTGGGGCCCGCCGGGACCAATAGAATCCTCCGTGCCATCTTCAGCAGGGCCATCCCGGGCACGTGGCGCCCACAGCAGCGTGGTGGGCGAGCGTGAGCGTGACCGCTCTACGGCATAACGAAGAGCAGGAAGAGCCTCGGTGAGAGTCGAAGGCGCAAGTGGTGGTATGTTTAGAACGCTGCTTGTGTGAGCAGCGCGAGCCGACGATGCGCCGATATCATATTGGCTGGCAAGTGCATGCGTGCAACCCGGAGCGGGATTGGACTCATTGGAAGTTTCGCATGTGGAGCTGGACGGTATATCTAGAGACATGTGAGGACAAGTCAACTGAGCGAGCTTAAGAGAGCGTGCCCACCCGTATCCGCCGCGCTTGGATCCTGCAGATCCGCAGAGCCCCCTAAATGAAACCAAGTCAATACATAGATTAGATATCCCAACGCGTTGCCTCCCCACCTGCAGGCAAAGCTTCTTCAGGACGCAGATACGCTAGGCCGTCTCCCAGCAATCCCTCCTCGTCGTCGCGCCACTCAATCGGCGGAAACTCCACCTGGCCTGCGTCCGGGCTGACCGCGCACGAGCTCCCGTAGTCCAGCGTGAGCGCGGGCGTCGTGAAGCCCGAGTACCCCTCGTCGGGGTGGTCCCACGCCTCGGGCTCCAGGAACGCCAGCGTAAACTCTTCCGATTCTGCGTTCACGCCTTCCTGCGTATCTTCGCTGGGTGCACTGGACGGACCCGCGAGCGCCTCGTCAAAGTCGAGCTCGAACGTTGACACCGGGCGCACGTTCAGTAGAGGAGCTCCCAACAGCGATTCCCCGTGCACGGTCGTGTCCGAGCCCGAGGACGTCGGCGACGGCGTCGGCGACGGCGCACGGGAATTCGGCGCAGAGGACACGGACAAGCGCGAATCCTCCGAAGACGTCGACGACCGTCGCGAGTCGGTGTCGTTCCAGGGCTCCGCGGGCAGATGCGCGCCGGGCGTGCCCTTCCTCGCCTAGCCCATTCCAAGTGAGTACATCTCACCACTTGGACTCGTACAATCCGCACGCACCTTTTTCTTAACCACCACGCCCGCCCGCGCGAGCACGCGCAGACTCGGCAGGCTCGGCCGGCTCGCAAACGCAGGACGCGTGTGCGCGGGGCGCACCTTCGCCGGCACGGGCAGCGTGCTCGTCGACGCGCTCGGTCGTAGCGCCGGGCGGCTCGGCGAGAGCGGGGACTTGGGCGTCGGCGTCGGCGGGGGCGGGGGCGCGGGGACCGGGAGCGCGGGAGACGGCAGAGGGGACGGGAAGGCGAGCACCGACGCGCCCGGCGAGAGGTTCGCGAACGGGTCGTCGGGCAGCAGGTCCCCGGACGGCGGCGAGCTGCCCGGCTGCGGCGCGGGGAAGGGCAGGTCCACCTCGCCGTGGTGCACCAGGTCCGCGTAGGACGACGCGAGCGAGGACGAGGACGGCTGCCGCGCGTGCGCGGGCCGCGGGCGCGGGCGCGGGACTTCGGAGAACGCGCGCGTGCGGGAGGAGAGCGGGGGGTCCGGCCACGCGGGGTCGCGCTGCGTCGGCGCGGTCGTGGGGGACTGCGGCTGGGAGGAGGAGAGGAACTTGGAGGGGACGAAGATCAACTGCAGCGAGGGCCGCTTTTTCGGCATTTTGGGGAAGGGGTGTGTGCTGGGTGAAGGAGCGGTGGATGGGCGGCGGCGCCGTTTGTACAGCGAGGCGAAAGGAATGTAAGTCTAACGACGGGAGTCAGCAAGACGCGTCGGTCGCGAGGAGGGACTAGAATCGGCATTATACAGGAAATGAATGAATTGCTCTCCCCAACGAAATCTCGCGCAATACAAAGGGCGCGTATTACGCGAGAACCAAGTCCTCGGGGTGTATTGGGGAAGAGATGGGAACTGGAATAACTGGGTCGAGAACTCACCTGGTCTCTAGAAGGAGTGCGTAGAGTGTAGTGCGGCGCTAAGTCGGGCGCGTCGGTCTTGCGAAAGAAACGAGAGTGGGTGTGCTCGGTGTCGGGAGCAGCATGCACGCAGTCGCGGTCGTCGTACGAACCGCCAGGAAGAGAGGAAAGCGGCATGCCGTGAGCAGGCCGCGTATATAAGAGACTGATTTTCGAGACGAGTGCAAATCCAATTGCAATCGGTGCCGGGCCCGTCGCGATTGCCCAATCGAGCGAGCTTCTTGGCGTGCTTCCGGTCTGGGCTCGAATCGTGATCGGGTCTGCAATGCGATACTCGATCGGGGTGTTGACTTTGCGTGCAGCGAGAGCGGGTTATATGCACGCCCAGCACCGCCCTCGTCGACGCCGAACTCGACAGTCAACAGTCTGACGCTGTCGATCTGCCAATGCAAGTTGCTCTGCCCGCAGACCCGCAAATTTCCGTCGCAGCGTAAACCGGAATACTTTCCCCTCCCCCGGGCCCGACGCTGTGATACCGCCGGCCCTGGATCGTTGTTGGCCCGCCGCGACGTCATTGGTCGCTGCACCGGCGACGTCGCGCCCATGTATCACTGCCTGCTAACAGCTCACACGACCGTGGTCAGTCCTCCCGAGTTATCAACCTGAGCGCCCGTCCGACGTTCGCCGCCCCCCGCCGCATATCATCAGCTACGTCACTCCTCATATATGCTCGACGCGATAAACCACGATATGACCCGGTAAGCGTTCGAGCTATCTAATCCTCCAACTGACAACGACAACAGGCTGCTCGGAGCTCGAGCGGCTGTTGGTGCGTGCCGCTTCACGCCCGAGTCGCCGACATCTATCAACCTTCGTCCCGCCCCTTTCTCCACTCAATCTCTGCTACCTCCGGCTTCCGTGTCCCCCGTGGAGTCCACTAGCTGGTGTTGCGTCGCTCGCTGCTCGTCCGATATCCTGACACATTCAGGATCTCCGTCGAGAGGCGAGTTCGTCAGTCCCAGTATTGTGTTTCCGACTGTATGCCCTCAGTGGTGATGTCGATCTCCGAAAGCCCTTCCCGCCAAGGCTATTGGATGACCACCCACCATACGCGAGGATGTCAGAAGACGCCAGTTACAGCAATAAGCAGAGGTATGTTGGTTTCCTTGAGCATTGTACATGGAGTGCAAAGGCAGTGTTGCCTCCCCCTCTCCATACATGGCTTGTTTCAATATCTCACGGGAAAATGCTCATGTAAGTCAGACCGGGGAAGTTGTATATTATCACGGTATGCATGCATTGAACGCTACTTTGACTAGTCGCGATAACGCTCCCGTTTACTTTGTTGCTGTCTGACCGCCTCTCACGTGGGTGGGAAGATGTCCATATACTATGATATAGTAGTTGTGATTGCATCTACTCTACCACAGGCGCTGTCGCATGATACATTACCGGCGCACACGCTGCTGACAGACCCACAGCAAGACATTCGTCGCACCCGATTGCATATCACGATGTCGGGAAAGGGCCGGGTAAATCGCCGTCCACGTCGCCTCGTACGCCCTGCTCAGCACATGTGCTAGCACTCACCCCTACGGAAGTGTATCAACATCAACCACCGGCTGACCTTGTCAGTCTGCTCCTCGCCGTCAATATCCGCAGGGCTGGAATGCGCGCGCACACGTTCCCCTGCGCGTCTGTGGTGAGCGCAACCGCTGTCATATGCGATTCACCTGCTCTTTCATCTCACGGAAGGGGCAAGCGCCGCAGAACACAGACGCGGCGTGGGCTGCATATACCACGCGACGCGCCCCGGACACGCCCGCCTGCGTGGTCTCTACTGGAAGGGAGTCGACGGGCAGGCCAGTACGGTGAGTCTACGGCACGTGGACTGGACTGCTCAGCACTCAGCACCCACGCCTGACGCCGCATGCTTCGCTCCTACACTGCTCAGCTAGGGTCGCTGCAGCACTTCCGTAGGCTATAGCTTCGTCCATCCAGCCGGATTTGCTCATCCGAGACTAATGCGTAGTATACTGATATTTTACTTATGTTATATGGATCCTTATGTATGGCAGGCGGAAGACAATGAATAGCGTGAGGGAGTCTATAAATGTCACAACGTACCGCTTCGTTTGTGAGACAACAAGGGGGAAATAAACATTCTGGAGTTATCTGCATGACTGCGTCAATATGATGGTCCACGTCACTGTGACCATGCACTTACTTGGTTCGCGTTGGGGAGCCTTCATGTTTGCGTGCGGTAAGTGTGGTAAGTAAGCCCGGATCCGAAATGATGGGAGTCTGTAGCATTACTTACTCTTGTAAACGGTCCTGGATACGTTGAGATGGCTTGCGCCTATCGCTATTGATCCTATCTTGTCGATTCATCAGGGTAAGACAAGACTAATGAAAGCCTACAGAGCCAGTAAGTGGTTTAGACCGTTCTGCGACTAACTGCTATACGCACTCGAGGACGCAAGACGGCTGACGCTAACGACAAGTTCAACGCGAAGGATGTCAGTCCTGTCGCAAGAGTTACAACGTCAAGTAATAATAATCAGTCTTCAGCAGCGGACGGAATAGACACGGTTGACTTGCCTGTAAGACGACGAGGACAACAAGCCGTATTGAGAACGGGCACAGCGAGGTAGAACGGGCAGGCATTGCAAGAGTAGGATGGGAAGAAAAAGCGGAGGAGTGGGATGATGTCCCCTTCACTGCAATCCCCCGTATAAATACCCCCTAGGGTCCAACGAGCGGACAGACTTCCGCAGACCTAACGGCAAACCTTTCCGCCGCTCGTGGTCTTCCCCACCGCCCAGCAACGAAAATGACTCACCAGCGGCAGAAGCAAAAGGGTCGCAGGTGTGACCCACAGCCCGAGTCACGCGGAAAGACGCGTCGCGTCGATCTGAAACGTCGCCACGGCGGCATTATGGCAGCCTCCATATTCGACCGCTACGAGCCGTTCCCAGACCCTCCAGCCTTGACGTATGGAGTAGACTCACTAGGAGCTCACCTCTGATACTGATACGTCTTGGGGTCTCTGACCCAGCGTCGCCCATAACAAGCATGATAGACAAGGGGTAGCTATAACCCAGGGATAGCGCTGCTGAAGCGACACCTGGGGGGAAAGCCGTATCAGCTAATTCACTAAGAAAACTCACCGCACTTGGCCCTTCTCCAGCCGTCCTGTAGACTACCCCTGGTTTAGACATACCTGTGTGCTGGATAGCGAAGCACCATTAGACCAGAAGCCCTTGCCGACCCTGCGCCAAGGATCAGGTCTCGCGTGATGCCTGTCCCTCACGGTCTGGCAGGGTTGTTTGCGATACGCTCTGAGAGGCAACGATGTCTTCATCACTGAGTAACGCCGCTAGAATAATGCAAGCCCACTCCGAAGACGTAACTGCAATATTGGCATCACGGCGTATCCTCCAGTTCGGCCATCCCGCTGATGTCCCACCCTTACAATCCAGGTGTGCGTACGCTCACGTTGTCAGACGGAAATATATAGTAGGATACGGACCTGGATCACGCTGGGAAATATTGCAAAAGAGGGTGTACGCAGTGTAATACCCTGCTTCAATTAAGATATCTACAAGTCGTAGATATTCCCATTCACTCTGTGCAGATATTCATTCAGTTCGTATTAGATTTAAATATAATAACACGAAAACTTGCCTTTGTCATTCAGGGCTCTTCACAACCCTACCGAAGGCGCGCGGAAGCATGCGGAGATGCAAAGGTCGCGCAAATTGCCTGAAGCCGGCCACAACGAATAGATCGGAATGGCATACAGGCGCGAGATGAAACAAGGGAAGACGCATCACGTACCGTTCCTCTCGTAGTCGGCAGCCGACCCTACACATGCCAACATCGCCGCTCGTGTCTACTATCCAGACTCTGAGCCAGTCCCGCTTGTCTGCTTGCATTGTCGGAGTTTCTGAGTACACCTGGATGGTCAATATGCAGCGAGTGGGATTGGGTTACGAGTGAGATAAGATCATTAGGATAGATGTGAGACAGAGTCAATCACACGTTCGGGCATATGATCGCGGCTGCACCCAAACCGTCCGAACGCGCAATCTGCACTCTTGCACAATTGTGCTCTCGTAGACACAGTACTTCCCTCCTTTTATCTAGCGCAGTACAAGGATGTTCGCGCGTGGATAGGCAGTGTGGATGCTTCGATTGCCCTCTATCCTAGCATAGGACGGTGACTCACCGACGTCTTAGTATCTCTGCGAAGTTGTGCCCTCTCAATGGCGTTGGGTATCTACAAAGAGTCTAAGGCCAGTGCTTTGCATTCAGGATGCAAATACATCCAGGAAATACATCTCACGCGAGTCGAGGTTAGTGAGAGCAGATCGCGCCACTGAACCAGCATGATACTGGGATAACCGCACGACATGTTACCACTGCTATCACACATAGAGGGTACTTCGCTGCTGGTAGTTCCACCTCATAGGCAAGGGTAATGAAATCATGGGACGAGACTGTAGCATTGGGAAGTTACTATACAAGGGGGAGGCCGGGATGCATCGAATGACGGTGAAGGTGCTCGTTAGACAGGATTTGTATTGATCGAGTCATGCCCAACAGTGGCAAATGAGACAGAAGACAGTATGAGCAAGCAGCAAATGTAAAAGACGAGGGAGAGAAACAGACCCAGCCAACCGAAGAGCCCTATGTATGCCCAAGGTGGCTGCAGCAAAGTCGCGTCGCGAGTTTGCGTCGAACTTGGCCTGCGGATCTGCATCCATTCGCCATCTGTCACTGCTTGGCTGCTGGGCGTACATGTTGCTCACCACATCGATAGTGTTCACAGCGAGTAGACGACAACAAATCATCATTCCAACTTGTTCCTCGCAGGGCATACACCGACGGCACGTATCTGATTGCGAGCACCAGTCATCGCTATTTCAACTTTATCCTTACCAGTATCCCGCTCCAACGAGTTATCAACGTTCTTGCATAGCCTGATAATGGGCTATACAAAGATGGCAATGACTCTGGTAAAGATATGAGTTGCTGATCATGATCTAAGGACGGCATCAGCTCTGATGTTGACGATCATGATCATGGCAGTTGTGGCACTTACTATGGATAAGTTCGTCGACTTTGTAACCTTTCAAAGTCATAGCGTGGACATTACACGGCGGGAACAAGTCTAGCTCTCGAGAGGACTGACCTGCAGAAGAGATTTAGAATTGAAGTAAGTGAATCTTTAGTTCTGGAAGTCACTTGCAGAGTTAGCTGATGATTGGGACGATGTGCAGATAATAGCATAATACAGTCGGACTTTGCAGCATGCTGGATTAGACTTAATCTGTGACTGCTCCGAGTCTGTCTGTCAACCATTGTCGAACGGACAACATCTAGCTAGCTGATAGACGACTGGGTAGGGTTCTACCCAGCCCTCAATAAGTGGAGTTATCGTGTAATTCCTCGTCTCTGCCGAAGTCTGAGGAGGCCGAGTCTGGGATGAGTAACTACCCGATATCTCAGATTTACATAGATTTCGTACGATTCTGAAGATCACAGCGACTGTCAGCACACGTAAGAGCATTTGATGGCCTTCTCAGAGCACGGAGTGCATTGACAATTCCAGATGGTTGTAAGTCTCGGGAAAGTTGGCTTTTCTCTTGACTCGAACTTGGAGGTCTAGTCACTACTCTCAGAGCTGTCCTTTGGTATGTATCCATGAACATAGTGTCTGTGTATTGTCTATGTCAGCCTGCAGAACGAAACATATTTACCTAATGTTATGAGAGATTCCGACTCCGTCGGGTGGCGAGCGGCACTGCAGCCCTGTCAGAGAAGCCTCTCAGCCGGTCGGTAGGTACCAATTGGCTGGGTAGCTTCTCTGACAAGCCCGCACTACCAATTCTAGTTCCATCCGTGTACGCAATATCGCTACGCAAGTCCTGACTTCCCCGTTGATTCCTCACGAGGGATATATAAACCAACCCAAATGCAGACGCCATCATGACCTCTCTGCTATGCCGAGATTATGCTCGTGCATTGTCCTAGCTCGTTCCGTTGTCGTCCTACCTATTGCGCATTCCAGCTGTGGCTCCAGTCGACGCCGCTGCCAGTTGTGATATGAATTATCATATTGATTGTAAGTGGAATTGCAGCTTACGCACCAGCCGAGCGCCTGATCCTAACATTCTCGGTTGCTCACCAAGGCAGTGTGTCGCAACTCAAAGGCACAACTCGTCTGACATGGGGCAAGGCATTCAGAGTGAAGTGGGATAGAGCCAGAGATCGGGCGGACGATATGCGATCGAAGGACAAAAGTGGCAGTGCTCGCGATAGAGCTCTTTCTTATTTCGGTACGTGTTAATTTGTGCAATCCTTTCCCTCTCGTGCTCAGCTCACGAGAGTCCATTACACCCTTAGCTCTTGATGTTTCCTGCAATTAGGAGTCCAACATTTTTTCTCTATTGTCGCGCAAGCATGGGACAAACGATCGCGTCAATGTCTGCCACAAGAACGTTGCGTACACTCATTGCTTGGCGCGATCACCTTGTCGAATGAAGGCTTGCGCTTCCCGAGTGTTCGAATACCTACGACGCACAGTTAAGGTGCACTATTCCATGGAATACGACGACTTCCTCATCCATCGACCATGCCGATCTGCTCGGTCCTAGTGGGAGTCTCGATACGAGCCGCAAGTGTCGGCAGAGATCTGGATTGAAGGAGCCAAGGCATCCAGGTGCGGAAGTGCAAAAATCCTTCCGTTATTCCGCCATCTTACGAGTGTGTTTGTATCAACCAGACTGCCAAACTGTTAACCGTGCATCTCGTTCTCACCGTTTGCCAAGCGGGTGCATCAAATAGCCCCCCCCGGGGAAGAGTGCTCAAGCTGCCGTACACTCCATAGCAGATATCGAATGTAAATGGTGCCTTCGACTGAGCTGACCTCGTCACCAGCTGTTCATAATCAAAAGTGGACATTGATTTACATGGTATGTCTCATTTTGCGACTTGCGAGCACAGGCATATCAACCTGACGCATCTTCTCAGACCCATAGCAAACTCGTTACGCCGCATACGGTGATATTACATCTCCATCGCTCCGTGCACACCATCGACGCTGTATCAGATGGTACATTGGCCCGACAGGGTGTCCCCATCCGCTACCGGCTTTAACCAGTAGCCCCCCGCGTATCGTCAGAGTCCTGCCCCGACGATGCCGCTGAGTTTGACCTGCCTGGGAGTCGGCGAGACGTGGGCTTGCTAAGCTCCCGCTGTTCCCATTCGCAGCTCAAGCTCTGAGTTTCGGCAAAGACGGGACGGGGTGTGTTCCCCCGATAAACAAGCCTTCCATGCCCCCCACCGCTCAATCCGCATGTCAGCGCATTTATTACGAAAATAATCCCGTCTCCTGCACCCAGGTTCTCGGCCGCTGAAGGTTCTCCCGCCGACTTTCTCGTCAAGACTGCGTGCAGTGTCAGCTACTACACGACGACGATGGTACGCAACACGTTCCCACCACCCCGAAGGTCGAATACGGAGCGACTCGAATAGCGGGATCCTTCTACTCCCGCAAGTGTTCATCTTTGGCACTGCTGATTCTTCCGCCTAGCCCTTTCAGCATCCTTCAGCAAAGATGGGATGGATCACGCCCCTGCGAGCAGCATTGCGACTCCTCCACAATAGTCGTGCTTCCTGCCTGGTGCATCCACTAGAGACCTTGATGTACGCCCGTACGCCCGATGAGCCATGGAGGTGCAGCTTCATCTTGGGTTGGTCAAGTTCCCGCTGCGAGGATTCCGGAGTTCAAGTTCCTGCACGAGACTATGACTCGGAGGACGTTGTCAGCTTGGACGAGGTCGGGGCACATTCGACGATGCCTATTATTTGCGGCCGTGATCTGTCTCAAATCTTTGCCTGTTACTGGCTTGCTTGGCGGGGTGTCCCCGCTGTACTGGACGCTACCGCTTGTCATCCCGAACGTCGCTGAGGACTTGCACGGCAAAACACGATAGATCGCATTCCTGCGATCGACACTATGTGCAAGCTGGGCATCTCGGCGCTGTATCTTGCAGTCTGGTCCTTCACGTTCGTTGCCTGCCATTCCACGGCGCTTGCCTTCTGAATGGCACCTTGGTCATGAGGCCGAATGTGATGTTCGGGATACCCATGAAACCTCCTCGACGAATACACGACGGGGCGCGTTCCCGTGGCCGCCCTGACTTCGACGCATGTTCTATAACGGTCATCAAGGTTAGCTCAATGCTACGTATCGGCTACACTACGTGATGTGCGCTTGGGGAGAGGGACTTTGGCGTGGAGTTCCTATGGCCCTCCACGTGCATCGAGAGACTTTGTCACTCTTATAACACACTGCTGAGTACGTTAACTACTTCTTTAGTACTCCCAGCTGATTCTAATCGTGTGTTAGCAGGAGTGATCTCTCACAGTGCTTCGCCATTTGGCTTCGAGGAGGGCGCAGTAGCATATGTGTGGGGAGCTCAGCGAGTGGTGTTATCTTGTAAGGATGAGTTGTTTTGGCTATGTTGCGTTTACTGACTTGTCCTTGGTTGTCCTAGCCTCGTCTGTAACAACATCATCGAGTCTATGGCTTGCAGTACATGCCAAAGTCTATATGTGAACCTCCGACCCTCTAGCCTTGCTGGTCGATGCTTCTGCCGCCCTCTTCCCCTGTACTGGCAGCTCCCTGGGACCTGCTTCGCGTTGACACGACAGATCGCGTTCCCGCGAGCAGCCTTATCGCGAGCAGCCTTATCTCTACGGCTCATACAATTTGTGCGCGCTCTCCTCTGCTGGACTTTTCGAGACAACATAGATGGGACGAATCGCATTCCCGCGAGTGGCATGGTCTGACACCGGTCACTGCTCGAGAGTGACGCAAGGCTTCTTTACCACAACCGCCACACTTTCGACACGATTTCGCCGCCTGGACGCAACAACGGTAGCTGCTCACAGCCCTATTGCCAAGTCTACTTCTCTGGGTGCTGGTTTCACCTCCTACGCCCCATCGGCTCACGCGGGTCTCTGGTGGGACTGCCTCGACAAAGAGACAACAGGACGCATCCCCACCACCCGCCCGGGAGTGTGGTCCTTGGCGTCCTTTGTAGGGACTGTTTGGGAGCAGTCTCATTGTTGGCGCATACCCTGTCCGCCATTCTCTCGTCGGTGCGGCGGCGGTTACTGTTTGCAGCTCTATCCGAGCTCGACGATGTACCTCTACGACAGACGGGAGCTCAGACGGCTGGCTGGCTGGCTGGCTGGCTGGCTGTGCTTGACAAAACCTGCGCGTCTACTGGCTTGGGGTTGTTACCTGGTGAGTACTTCCTTGTCGTCTTATGCCTCTGTCTGAACTGATTGTCATGTCCTTGCCAGGAACTGAGCGCTGGCAAAGTGTGAGTAGGCGCTCTTTTGACTGTACCACATATGCTGATGCATCTTGTCTCAGCCTCGTCTGTAACAACATGAAGGAGCCAGGTGACTTGAAGATGCTTTATTGGAGTAGAATACTAGTAGATACAGAGAGTACACGACCTGTACAGTAGACAGCACAATAAACGGGCGAGAGCTGGCTTTAGGGCCGGCTCCCGCCCAATACAAGAAGTAAGAGCACGGGGGAAATCCTTACTCGAGGCGCCCGTCTTTCTACCGTGGGAAAGCGGACTTGCCGCGAGGGGCAGAACCTCCCCCTCCAGCCAAGTCCGCGGCGACACAGAGAAAGGACTCACTGTGGTTGGAACGCTGCTTGGGTGAGCAGCGCGAGCCGACGACGCGCCGATATCATATTGGCTGGCAAGCGCCTGCGCGGAACCCGAAGCGGGATTGGATTCGTCGGAGCTGGACGGTATATCTAGAGACATGTGAGGACAAGTCAACTGAGCGAGCTTAAGAGAGCGTGCCCACCCGTATCCGCCGCGCTTGGATCCTGCAGATCCGCAGAGCCCCCTAAATGAAACCAGGTCAATACATAGATTGGATGTCCCAACGCGTTGCCTCCCCACCTGCAGGCAAACCTTCTTCAGGACGCAGATACGCTAGGCCGTCTCCCAGCAATCCCTCCTCGTTGTCGCACCACTCAATCGGCGGAAACTCCACCGGGCCTGCGTCCGGGCTGACCGCGCACGAGCTCCCGTAGTCCAGCGTGAGCGCGGGCGTCGTGAAGCCCGAGTACCCCTCGTCGGGGTGGTCCCACGCCTCGGGCTCCAGGAACGACCCGCGCAGCGCGAGCGTAAACTCTCCCGATTCTGCGTTCACGCCTTCCTGGGTATCTTCGCTGGGTGCACTGGACGGACCCGCGAGCGCCTCGTCAAAGTCGAGCTCGAACGTTGACACCGGGCGCACGTTCAGTAGAGGAGCTCCCAACAGCGATTCCCCGTGCACGGGCGTGTCCGAGCCCGAGGACGTCGGCGTCGGCGACGGCGCACGGGAATTCGGCGCAGAGGACACGGACAAGCGCGAATCCTCCGAAGACGTCGACGACCGTCGCGAGTCGGTGTCGTTCCAGGGCTCCGCGGGCAGATGCGCGCCGGGCGTGCCTTTCCTCGCCTAGCCCATTCCAAGTGAGTACATCTCACCACTTGGACTCATACAATCCGCGCGCACCTTTTTCTTAACCACCACGCCCGCCCGCGCGAGCACGCGCAGACTCGGCAGGCTCGGCCGGCTCGCAAACGCAGGACGCGTGTGCGCGGGGCGCACCTTCGCCGGCACGGGCAGCGTGCTCGTCGACGCGCTCGGTCTCAGCGCCGGGCGGCTCGGCGAGAGCGGGGACTTGGGCGTCGGCGTCGGCGGGGGCGGGGGCGCGGGGACCGGGAGCGCGGGAGACGGCAGAGGCGACGGGAAGGCGAGCACCGACGCGCCCGGCGAGAGGTTCGCGAACGGGTCGTCGGGCAGCAGGTCCCCGGACGGCGGCGAGCTGCCCGGCTGCGGCGCGGGGAAGGGCAGGTCCCGCTCGCCGTGGTGCACCAGGTCCGCGTAGGACGACGCGAGCGACGACGAGGACGGCTGCCGCGCGTGCGCGGGCCGCGGGCGCGGGCGCGGGACTTCGGAGAACGCGCGCGTGCGGGAGGAGAGCGGGGGGTCTGGCCACGCGGGGTCGCGCTGCGTCGGCGCGGTCGTGGGGGACTGCGGCTGGGAGGAGAGGAACTTGGAGGGGACGAAGATCGACTGCAGCGAGGGCCGCTTTTTCGGCATTTTGGGAAAGGAGTGTGTGCTGGGTGAAGGAGCGGTGGATGGGCGGCGGCGCCGTTTGTACAGCGAGGCGAAAGGAATGTAAGTCTAACGACGGGAGTCAGCAAGACGCGTCGGTCGCGAGGAGGGACTAGAATCGGCATTATACAGGAAATGAAGGAATGGCTCTCCCCAACGAAATCTCGCGCAATACAAAGGGCGCGTATTACGCGCGAGAAGCAAGTCCTCGGGGTGTATTGGCGAAGAGATGGGAACTGGAATAACTGGGTCGAGAACTCACCTGGTCTCTAGAAGGAGTGCGTAGAGTGTATTGCGGCGCTAAGTCGGGCGCGTCGGTCTTGCGAAAGCAACGAGAGTGGGTGTGCTCGGTGTCGGGAGCAGCATGCACGCAGTCGCGGTCGTCGTACGCACCGCCAGGGAGAAAGGAAAGCGGCATGCCGTGAGCAGGCCGCGTATATAAGAGACTGATTTTCGAGACGAGTGCAAATGCAATCGGTGCGCCGGGCCCGTCGCGATTGCCTTGGCGTGCTTCCGGTCTGGGCTCGAATCGTGATCGGGTCTGCAATGCGATACTCGATCGGGGTGTTGACTTTGCGTGCAGCGAGAGCGGGTTATATGCACGCCCAGCACCGCCCTCGTCGACGCCGAACTCGACAGTCAACAGTCCAACGCTGTCGATCTGCCAATGCAAGTTGCTCTGCCCGCAGACCCGCAAATTTCCGTCGCAGCGTAAACCGTAATACTTTCCCCTCCCCCGGGCCCGACGCTGTGGTACCGCCGGCCCTGGATCGTTGTTGGCCCGCCGCGACGTCATTGGTCGCTGCACCGGCGACGTCGCGCCCATGTATCACTGCCTGCTAACAGCTCACACGACCGTGGTCAGTCCTCCCGAGTTATCAACCTGAGCGCCCGTCCGACGTTCGCCGCCCCCGCCGCATGCATATCATCACCTACGTCACTCCTCATATATGCTCGACGCGATAAACCACGATATGACCCGGTAAGCGCTCGAGCTATCAGCCTCAGGGCGGGACTTGTGCCTCCTATCCAAGGGAACGTTCAGGCTCAAGGTTGAACGACCTGCTGACCCTGAGATGGGTTCGCTCTGCCCGACAAGTTGAACGCCCTCCATCACTCCGGATCCTAGGAACACCGTCACCTACTTCCGCAGAAGTCTGGAAACATGCCCATAAAATGGGTGGTATGTATATCCTCCTCCGATGCGCCCAACTTCGAGGTGCATGCCATAGCGCCCGCGCTGAAGCTTATGCGGCGCGGGGGCTATGGCATACCTCTCCTTGTACAGGACATCCGGCACGAGCATCCCTCCGAATCTGGAATTATCGGACACTTCGAGGGAAGATCACCTCGAGGTGATGCTGCGGGCGTTGTATGTATGCGGATTGCCATCCAAATGTACCGCGCGTTGTCATAGCGCGAAATTCACCGAAGGGCGTCTCCTCGAAGGTCGCGACAAATAGGGCGAGGGGACTGCTGGCCCGACAGTCTCCGATTCACCAGTGATATATCCGGCAATGAAAATCGGAAAAGCGCCCGACAAACCTGAATGAATCCATATGTACGTTCATACTTGGAAGCCAAGCAAGTCAACCCCGTTGAAGTGCTCTGTCGCCACTGCTCTCTAGCTCCCACATTTAGCCCCCCCTGCTCGGGGAAGAATTAGTGGCACCGGCTCACTCGCGACCTAAGCAGTGTGATGCACGCAAGGCGGAAGGTGACACAGTATCAATATTTAATATCCCTGCTTGTACATGAACACTAAGGGCCTTCAAATGCATACATAGATGTGCACAGACCAAGTTCACTATTCATTCAATATCGAACGGTGCTATCAAGGTATCAGGACAGCCGAGCATGCATTACGATTGACCGCCAGACAGAAAGGAGCCAAAGAGATATGTACCGCTCCGGATATTCATAATGGGCACACTCACTATACTGCACTACAGCATCGGCCGCGGAGAACGACATGTGCAGTCGTCCGGACTGTCCTGTCATTGCCTTCCTCCGTCTGTAAACGTAGCACAGGTTGCTGGAAAGACGAGAAGGCCGGCCGTACCGTCTCAGCAGCCACCCCCTCCCGTCCTCGAGCATCCCTCGAACACAAGGCTTTTGACGTCCTGCATTGTGCAGACCTCCGTCAAGAAGCGAACGCTCCCTCCTGTCAACTAACACGCCTGGATATCTGCACCGTAGACCTCGCGAGAGCGACCGCTCCATCTCGATGCGGGGGAGTCGGCGCGGCCCGCAAAAGACGCTCATCAACCCCCAGGGAGGGGAACCACGGCCTGCACTCCTTGCGCGGGTTCCCGGTCAGGTGCATGCCTCCATTGCGCGAAACCGCCGGCGCGCCGTCAGCCCAGCGTCCCCGTAGTTCCTTGACTCCGGGCCTACCACATGTCCCAGACACAGTCACAGCTAGCGCTATAGCGCTTCTGCCTGGGGGGAGGTGCCGGCGAGGAGGGCCTCCGGATACCTGCGCTGTACGCGCCCGCGTCGGTAAGGCAGGCCCGCGGTGTAGCGCTGTGAACGATGATAAGTCAGGGGGTAAACGCTTTGGGCATGGTTAACTTATTGCATTTGTGTAATCAGCCCTTGTCTAGACCTCTTCCCTTTGTGCATGTACATGTGGCCGGTGTAGGTTAATATACAGGCTTAGCATTTCTTGTAGTGTGATGGCGGGCCAGGTGCCCAGTCTCTGCCATGCCAGCCTCGCAAGAATACTGTACACGCCCCTCTGAAATATATCCCTTTTACAACTTCTCCCGTCAAGGTATGCAAACGAGGACACTCAAATCAAATATATTGCACCAATAGATACTTGTAAGTGTTCCGACGACGAGAGCAGCGCAGCAAAGCAAAGCAAGCAAAACGATACGACAAAACGGGATAGAACTACTAGTAGACGGCAAACGTCGAGCAGCAATCATTTCGGACTCGAATCCCGGAAACCCCTCTTGTTCTTGTACCTCTTCGAGCTCCGTCTAGCGTCTCCCAGATCACGGCGCTGGAGGTTGTCCTCGAGTTCCCGAACCCGCTTCTGGCTGCCTGAGGACTGAGTACTGGACGAGTCCCTCCTCGCCTTCTCCTTTTCCGATGGCTTCGGCGGCATCGACACATGATCTAGGAGCAGTTTCTTGCTTCCTTTCTTTTGCACTTGATGAAGCGGGGGTAGCAGCACGTGAATTTCCTGCATTGGTGGCAACGGCAGGGTCATCCCCGACGACGAGGAATGGGCGTCCGACTCGGAAGAGTAGGCATTTTCCCAGACAGGGATGCGGCGCTCATGTTCGTCGATGCCGCTAGGCGCGCTCGCATTGCTAGCTATCGCATCCTCGTCGGGGTCCTCCTTGAGCAATGTAATGGCATTATCCACATGCTTAAGGACTTCTTGGAAATGTTTCTCCATCTGTTCTGCCGATGCTGAATCTCTCTTAGTGAACAAAACATTCACGGCCCCAAGGTGAAGGAAACTCACTGTCCAACGGGTCTGGAACATTACGTGGTTCCTCCACCCAGGTACCTTCTAATCGCTCAAACTTTTTCAATGCCGCCGTACGTTTCTCTTTCTTTTTTCTTGCTTCTTCATCCTGCTGAGCCTGGTACTCGGCGATCCTGGGAAGCGCAGTCTCCCTGAAGAATGTCTGGAGCCGCAGGAGCAATCCTTCCAGATACGGACTCATCGTCGGTGCAATGAGGTCTCCGACCATTGGCGGGTCGTTGATAAAGCTCCTTTTTGCGTCTGCTGCCAACTGCAAGTTCGGCGAATCCCAATTCTTCAGTGTAACGGGTATCGACGCGCGAGGAACGCAAGGGCGCTCGAGCGTGAACGCAAACCAGCACAGGCCGTAGAAACTGGACTCCAGATCGTCCAGATAGTCGTGCTTACCGAGACCCAGCAGTACCTTGATAGACTGGAACAGACGAGTACCCTGGTGTAAGCATCAGCATGCGTTCGGTCCAATGTGTACCTTGACAACTCGCCGTCCGGACATCGGTACTCTCCCCGCTCGTCGTCCTATCAATAAACTTGGCCATGTCGAAATCAATCAGAATTCCCCGCGTGCCTACCCCCGCATCGAGTCTTTCATTGAGTAGCATGTTGCGCGTGCTGATGTCACGATGCACGATACCACGCAGAGCAAGGTTGCGTTGGGCTGGAGTGTCGTCAGAAAGTAACTGATAGGAACTGCCTAGAAGCCATACCTGCAATAATATCGCGAAAAGCTTCGACGAGTTGCAGCACGGACCGTGCCATCTCCAGCGGTGGCCCATAGAAAGGTTGCAAAATGTAGTAGTATTGACGGTCG